ATGATGATGATGATGAACCTAGGCAGAGTGATGATGATGATGATGATAGACACGCGGCAGTGAGCTCTATTTCAACCTATCAAAGCCTGCTCTAAAATGCTATTCTGTAGTAAATACCACTAACCTTGCACCACGCTGATAAACACAGATAGATGCGTGCCCTTTCCCTTACCATCCCCGTTCAAACATGCGGAGGCCATCAGCCGGTAACCATTCCTGCTTGTATAGAACTCCGGGCTAAAAATCGTGTCCATTTCCCCGCTCTTGGCCGCTTTAAACTTCCGTTGGTAGTCGTCGATTCTCCATACCAGCTGACTGTTGGTGATTCGTTCCAAGTCCTCGATTCGCTGTTCTTGTTTACGGTTCGTGTCGGTCTGTTCTTTAAGCTTGGCCTTAATATCTTGCAGTTCTGTTTTCTGGTCCATGACCACTCCGTAGAGCAACCTCACGTGATTAATCAAATCGCTCTTGTGGTGTTTGGGCAGTTTCTCTCGACTGCACTGTACAAAACGTAAAAAATGTTTATTTTCAAGGTTGCTATTAATAGTAAATTTGACTGGGTAGACGCAGTTCGCGGGAAAAAAAAAGGGACAAATGTATGGAAAATTAGAAAAATTAACTGAGCGTCTTCTAGCCAAGTTACATCCTTCAAACTTGGTGAATACAATCTTCTACCTAGTATTTAAACGCTGTGATTCACAAATTGTGTAAAATTCAATTTTGGAAAAAGTTATTGCCACCGAATTCCCATACAAACACTGTAATTTCTGATCGCTTTGACTACCCGTCAAGATGACTTCGAAAACCCTGATAAGCTAAGGTCTATTCTCCTTACCGATTTTCATACATCTATTTTGATCGTTGTTTTAAGAATTCAGTGCAACATAAAAATAACACCTTCATCAAAATGGTTTTCTTTTTTATCTGTCGCCTGTTAACCTGCGAAAACAGTCGCCTCCATCGCTCGACGAGGTTTGTAAGTGTACTGCGACCAAAGCGACTGACGAAGAAGAAAAGCAGCAAAAAATTCGGGAAGATTTAAAACCGACACAGTTTCGTTCGGAACTTCGAAGGAAAAAACGCTTTTCGGTATAAAATGAACGCTCTAAAGTTGTTACCTTTGATTTGTTTCTTGTCCTTTTATATTCTAGCGAAACTGCAGGTGAACTTGTTCGTTTCTGAACAACAAACTCTGTAGTCTTATGGTGGCGGCCGCGTAAATAAGTAAACTCTTCTTTCATTAGACTTGCACAAGGCGTTTCTTCGGATATTCCCCTAAACCTTTCTCGTTTGTCTTAATTGCTGTAATTGTAAAGAATATAGACGACCTTAGAAGAGATTGCACAGGGAATATTTCGGGATAAAACTTTGTCTCGCCGGACGCCTGCTTGCCACCCACACTTGTTTCATTCAACTCAAGAAGTGACTAACCGCGTCTAAAATTTTGCCGCCATTTTAAACAATCACTTCGTGTATATCAAAGTGAAATGCCCACATCATCCACTCCAGTGGCGAGGTGTTAACTTTTAGAGCTGAATGAAACATGTGTGGAAAGCGAGCGATCGAGACATTTAAACTACTCCTGGCACAGTCCGCTCCTCTTAAGTCGTCTATATTCTGGAAAATTATGACCATCGAGACAGTTTAGGGGAAGACACGAAGCCTCGTGCAAGTTAAATGAAGCAACTGCAAGGCCTGTACGAGTTGGCGTCTTTACTCGGCTACCATTATCATTTGTGTTGCTCAGAATCGAGCAATCAAAGGACAAGAACCTAAAATGCAAGGTAACAAATTCTACTGAAGTGCTTAGTCTTATGCCGAAAATATGTTTCCATTCAGTGAGCGAAATGCTGCTGAATTTTGCCACTTTTAGTCTACTACAATCAGTCTTACGTTTCGTATCAAACTCTAGGCAGTTGATTTTTTAACGAAATGTATCACATTCTGTGGCTTTTTTCAGTTTCCGCAGACTACGAGCAGTCTTTTCCTAGCGTGCGAGGAGTTAAGTTTCTAGCGCGCGATCATGTGAGAGCGGTCAATATTAACCAAGTTTCAGGAACTAAAACCAACTACTCGTAGTCTATAGTTCCCGGAATATTCTGGCCATTATTTTCTTGTATTTCCGCGCTATTTTTCCGATGGTTTATGCGCCTACTGAACCGCCGGAAACTTCTGACTACCTTACACAAGACATTCTATGTGAAACCTTTATAGAGGACGCGGGAGGATGCGACAGTCAATGTATCTAAAAACATAATCTGTATCCCCATAAATTACAACTATTGGTTCTAAGAATTAGAACCTGTGAATTACAACCTGTGCTTCGCTAGACCTGTTACCCGCCAGCATTTGTTCTAAGTTTGCTCACTTACTCTGTGAGAGCAGCCAATGTCTTCGTATTCACAGGTTACCTTTGTCTTAGGACATTCTTCCGCAACGTGACGATCAAGCTGAAACATTCACAATGAAGTCATTGGTAAATTTCTACATGCACAGAAAAATTACGGCATATTAAAAAAAATCGGACGACCGGAAATCATTGTTCACAGAGACAACCGTAAATCATGGCATTTTCATGGTCATCATCATCATCACATCATAATCATTATTATCGTCGTCGTCGCCGTTGTCGTCAAAGTTGTAGTCATCATTGTCAAAGTCGTTGTCGTCATCATCGTTATTACCGCTATAATAGTCGTCGTCGTCATCATCATCATATTATGATAATTATCATCATCGTCGTCGTTTTTGTCATCGTAAACGTTGTTGTCGTCATCATCTTCATTACTGTCATCATCGTCGTCGACCTTGTTATCAACGTCAATTTTGTAGTCATTGTCGTTGTAGCAACAACAGTAACAACAGCAACAACAGCAATGTAGCTAAAACACTCTTCACCTGATCCCTGTTGATAACAATTTTCTTTTCACATTTGTTAGGGCAGGCCACAGGCAGTTTCGGACACTCATCATGATGAGTCTGAAATAGACATCATACATCATACAAAGGCCTAATAATACTTCGCCGGGCGAGTCCTTAAAATAACGTAGGTTAGCAAAGGAGGGCTTGGTTACAAAATCGCATTACGGCAAGGTAGCCATAATTTAATGAAGCCTGCTATATAGCCTTAAATGTTGGATTACGTTCGTAACTTCATAGCGTCATACCTTAGGATGTTCAATTAACATGGACAATGCCCAACCTTTCTATCCTCCCTGAGATGCCGGTCGTCGCAGTAAGGACAGATGATGATCTTCTTGGGACAGTCTTTGTTAACATGCTTTTCGAAAAACCTCTTCTGGAATTTGGCCCCGCATTCATAAGAACACAGCATGTCCACGAACTCACATTCATCTTGGTGTTCCTAAGGAGCAGGAAAAAAGTATTAATCATTGGACTTCATCATTGTCATGTGACCTCTCTCCTCCGCAACAAAGGTTCCAAACGTTCGTTATAGAAAGCCGCTGTGCGAGATGACTGCAGGCGCAAAATCGAAGTAACCCTGCGCCTGCACTCATATCGTCCAGCTGATTCTCTCCACCAGAAAAAATCCCCTTTCGCCTTTGCGGAAGAAAGAATCATGTAACAATGTATACTGAGTTCGTCGCATTCTTCTCACTCACCTTAGCATTTTGAAATTCTCCCTCCCATTTGCAGCCCCATTCGTGATTGTTACACTTCACATCAAGTTCTAAAATCTCCCGATTAAACGCCTTGTCTACGTAAGCCTGGAAAGAGAGACGAAACTATTTTATTACGTATTGTCAACCTCGTTCCCGGTGAAAAATCGTTCCCGAGCTAATTTTTCAATTAATTCTTTGCAAAATTCAACCAAATGTTTACATGAGGACGGCGAACCCGTCTCGGGGGACGGGTGGGCGAGTTGTCTCGCCTCGGCAGGTAGGGTAATCCTGAGAAGCGGAACAACTTTTCTTCATATAAACGTTTTGTCTCGCCTAACTGGGACAACTCTCGGCGAGGCAAGTGTCACATAGTGTCTAGATCTAGGATTTAAAGCAAAAATTTGTATCAATGAAGTGAAATTTAACTCGGCAAAACCCACTGTGATCGAATGACTGAGGGAAACTCAAAGAAAGAGGGATATTTGCACATTTGATTATTCAATAAGGGTTATGAATAATTATGCAAGATCAACTTTGACCCGGCCTAGAAGGGCAATGTTTTCGGAGTGCAAACGAAAAATTAACGATAAATCAGCCTGCCCTCAGCCAATCACAGTGAAGTAATTTTCTTCATGATAAAACTAAGGAATTGCAGTTTGAAACTCAACAACTGTCATTGCATAAACTGAGACCTTCTATAACTACCTATACCTCCTATTTGCTTCGAAAGCATTAACGTACCTAAGAAACGCATCATTCAGTACTTTGATTAGAGTACCGTTCGGGTCTAAGACTAAGGATATATGAAACTCAATTATATAACTCACAGCTTCTTTGTTAATCTGAATCTGATCGATTGGGCATCGCGGTTCAACTCTGTAAGCAAAACAGCAATGAAAAATAGATTGAGCATCGAAGCCAGTTGCATGTGGGCACGTATTCGACACCTGTATATCCCCCAGTTACCCAACGCTTTTGTTTGGTGTACCATGTAACATCCCACAAGTCACTCGTATTTTCTCGGTATAGATATAGTAATAGTATAGTTAAGTGGATCAAAATTGTCCCTTAACCCCTAATCGAAGTTATATTCCTGTTAGCATTGCTATTTCCGTCTCTGAAAGCACACCCTCTAACTTTCTATGTAGGTCAGCAAAGAGAATTACAAACGTGAAATAACCTCACCTCAGCAGCGAAGGAAAACATGACGAACAAACTCTGTGACCGCACTCTTCAAACTGCACGGGGTATCGGAGCACGTCTTTGCATACGGGACATTGGTATATCTCAGCCAATGGAAACACGAACGTCGCCTTTATCTTCTCTCTCGGTTGTACCTGGGCAAGAGAGGAAGGACTGGCACCATCGCGACCGCTGGTTGGACGAGAGCCAATGGGACTGTGTGCTCCTCTAGCTGTGAACTCCTACAAGTATGGCATTTTAAACACGTGTTTAACTGAGCCATGATCGAAAGTGCTCGTGGAATTGACTGCTCTTCCCAGCCACAACAACGATAGCAGCAGCAGCAGTAACGACAACAATAACAACAGCAACAACAACAGGATGCAAGGAGTTGCACTGAACGGTTAAAATGGGAAACGGGAGACCCCGTTGTACAACCAAACAAGTTTTCGCATCTAACTTTCTTTTCTTTCAGTGTGGATAAACAAAAATCAATATGGAATGTTTTAACAACAACAACAACAACAATCTCGCGTATTCTCTTTCTCATTTCTCTCGTTTGCTTTTCGACCTTAAAAGAAAGAGTTGGACTTCTTTAGTAATACCGACGCAAAATCTTGACGTCATGTTGTAACAAGTACATCAGATTGTTATCCAAATAAAAGTGGTTCAGATCAAAGACTTCACAATAGGACGACGTGTAAATAATTCATAGCGATATTTCTATCTTGTCGATGAAGGAGTTCTTTCAATTAGTGTCTACTTGGTGTTGTGAGGTAGTTATGTCAAGAAAGGTTCAAAAAATCCAGGTCGAATCAAGAAGAAACAAAAAGTCGATCATTTTAGTTGAAGTTGTTCTCAGGAAGTCCCTTGTAGATATAATTGTTGACCTGGCGACTGAAAAAATAACACTAAATAGGCACTAATTGAGTAAGAAAATCACTGTTTCAAAACTGTAATAATCAGCACAAATTTCAACTACATTCTTGTTTACAAGAAGACTGGTGGTTCAACTTAAGGTTTTTGAACGTATCTATTACCTTCACGCTAAACTTAAGACGCTTGCACTTGTAATGAGCGAACGAATCTAAGCCTCTTTTAATAAACACTTTTTTAGCATTTGTTTGAAAACGTTTTGGGAAATCTTTTCAATGAAACGAATATTCTTACCTCCTTAGTTTTTAGCTGAGAGATAATTTCATTCACCAAAATTTGCCCTTCGCTTTTACGTTCCATTTGAAATTCAAGCACAGAATGTAATCAAACACTCTCAAACGAACATAATAAGCAAAACATCGCTGAAAAAGGTACACTAATTTGACTTCTTCATCACCAGCCAATCAGAATTACTCTAGTTTTAATTATCGCGCCACCTGCCGCCCGCAGAGCTTGGCTGTTGACCAATCAACGCCTTCGACATAAATAGGATAATTTGTACTTTTTTGACGTTCACAGAATCATATTGAAGACAATGAGTACGATGAATGCTAGAAATAATGAACACTTCCAGAGCAGGAATTTCTTTTCCGTGTAATTAATTGCCGATTTACAACGTGTACAAAACCGCAATCAAAGTACTTGTTAAGTTGTCTTACCCAAAAGGGTTATTTAAGGGGGTCATTTAATCTCCAAGAGTGATAAGCGTGTTATTCATAGTAAACAATCCAAGCAAGCAGGTGGCGCTAGACTCAGTCTAACTTCAGCCATCTAGTTGATTCCAACACTCCTTTTGGGAGTCTAGGAATCAATAGAAGACTAAAATTCAGGCTACTAAACTCCCAGGGCGGGCATCAAAATAACTGTAAAGCAATCAGTCAAGAACTGGAAGAAATACCGTAAAGTTCCGATGGTAAGTCTTTCTCTCGCCCACCCCTACGAAAATAAGGCCGTGAGCTTATATTCAGATTTATCTTTTGAAGGATATCGCTTTCGATTATAAGCCCGCCTAGATGGGCTTGGCCGTGATGTCTCTACTTGAAAGACGAAACAACCTAGCCCTTTTCTTTTTAAAAGTACCTATATTTTGGCAAATTATCCCAGATTTCATTTCTTTGAATATTGACAGACTCAGAGACAGCTCCACATAGAAGTATTGCTCGATAGCTTTCATTAAAAGGTCAAGACTTGACCACACCACCTTGAACCACATTGTACATACTAGTTATGCAACGCTTTGGAGTGGTATACCATGAAATATCCCACGAGTCACTTGTGTTTTCTAGGCATACAAACGACCCTTTACGCGACTTTCCCCGCGGCGCATGATGGGAGGGTTGGATGTAATAATGTCGAATATACAACAGCCTTCTGATTGGCTGTATTTTCTATGGCATGGTATAAAGTATAATATACCAGTTCCACATAAAAGAACAGTGATTGATAGCTTTCATTCGAACGGCTGTATTACTCGATAGCTTTCAGTTTAGAAGGCTACTCACAAGAGTTTGGTTCCTAGAATGAAAGATTGAACTGAAAACCACATTAAATGACCGATGCACATGGATTCTAACAGTAACAAGGGATAATCGAGCCAGATATTAGATTCCTAAACAAAAATGGTAAATTTAAAACAATTTTATTGTTTAATGTGAAAGAAGGAAACTGAAAAAAACACTAACAAGTTAACCAAACAGGGGACTTCAGACAACGGTATAGTTTCAACAACTGTTTCACTTTATTCACCACGTAAAAGTTTGCACGAAACGAGACGCGTTTTCCAAACGTTTTAAAAAACGCGACCGAATTCAAACATCGACCAATGGTTTGTTGGCAATGATTATCACGACTGTAGACGACTGGAGCCGAGTGCCACTCGACGATACGACGAATACAAATCGGTAATATTCGGTTGTTGTGATCTGTCGGCAGCTCTGAAGTAAAAATGCGTCGAACGCGTTGCTTTCCGGCAGTTTTTTGGCCACTGGGTTGTTAAGAGGCAAATTGTTCAAAATATTCTCAAGTGTTTTGTTAGAATAGTGGATAAACTGTTTACTTCCAAACTTGCTCATACAAATTCTACTACTATTCTCACTGAGGCCCCATCTACACCTTTTCAAAGAAATTTGAAAACGCAGCTTAATTTCTACGGTTAGGCCTACCGTCCACACTAATCCGTTACGAAAACAGAGCTTTTCGAAAGGCTCTTCAAACCGGAGGAATTTGAACACCGGCTTTGCGTTTTAGCGTGGACTGAAAACATTTTGAAAACGGGGCTTTTCGAAAAGAGTGAAATCACGATAACCATGCGATTTCCCTGCTCGAGTTTTCCTGAAACATAAATCCAAAATGACCGGTGATTGTTGTGTTTTCAAAATTTCTCCAGCGTAGTGGTGTGGACGGAGAACATTTGATGCGTTTTCAGAGTGGAAACTCCGTTTTCAAATTTCTCCGGCGTAGTGTGGACGGGGCGTGAGTGGATTATGTTTTGAGTCGGTATTCAGATCAAACCATCAAATATATTATAAGCAGTCTACCGGTAAGGTCAGTTCACTGATCACAACAAGATAACAATGGCTTCCGTTCTTCAAACCGGTTGTTATAAGCTTGTACATCATTTTTAAAACTTTGTCTCTTCATAATGAATAATATCACTCTGAAAAAATGGTTACAGAAACAGCAAACCTTCGATGAATTGAATGCTTTCAGTCACAACAATCCTGTACAACATAAATATGAAGTTCAATGGGTTTTCTGTGCCCGTGTGACAGTCACTTTACAAAACGTACTCGATGAAGTTTGAGGTAAATGATGTGCGAAGAAAATTGTTTGTACAAAGCTCCAGTTTGCAGGACGCTCTTTATATCTATCTACAGGGATTTCTTCTATAACACGCAGAACTGTTTCATCTCGCCATTGTTGGATATAGGAAACGTCTTCATATGATTATTCGATGTTGGCATTTTGATGTTTTCCTGTCTATCGTGGTTCATTTTCAACCCATTCAAATGATGTCCATTGCGTCCCTGTGCTTTCACTAAATTAGTGAGCCTTTCCACTTCATTAGCAAGCGTCTCGATGATCTTTCTACACTTTCTTCGTTCCTTGTTGATCGTTGTGCTCAGTTCTTCGACTTTTCGTTCCAAATCTTCGTTTCGCTGTCGTTCGGAGTCGATCTGGAGATGCAATTCTCCGATCTTCATTTCAAGTTGCCGAATTTCCCACTCGGATCCAGTCTCCCGATTCGCTTCCTGTGCCGCGACCCTGGGTTCTTTAGCAGTCAACTGCTGCTTCAACTGCAAGAAATGTTATCCAACAACAATACGTTAGTGCTTTGCTGTTTTAGACGATTTGGATAACATTTCAAGATGCATATGTTAACTTCTTAGTGGTATCTGAAATTAAGCTTAAGTACCGCGAAAACCAAGAGTTGCAGACAGCGTAACCGCAGTGGCACCGGATTACAGTTCCGTCGTTTCATGATGACTTGCACTTCGAGGAACATCATCAGTAGTATCTAGAAAACCCGCATTCTGCAAATTTCGTTAATATAAAAATGAAAGTGGGTTGTAAGATAGTTACAAAGGTGAACTGTAACATCCCTACAGCTCTTTTCGTTGAGTGATTACCTAATGGCCAATTTCCTCTATGAGATATGCCCGCAGGGAATCATGGTAGTTGTATTCTTTATCTTGGACTGGACATTTGTTTTGATGAATGCAACTACCATGATTCCCTGCAGGCGCGTCTTATGGAGAGAACTGTCCATTATTGAGAGTCGGAACATTTTTCGTCAGAATGCTACACTGCACGAAGTAGTTTTGTTTCTTCTTCCCACTAAACAGACAAAACTCAGTCTAACCTTGTGAATGCGTAACCTTGTGAATGTGACAGCTTTAAGAAAGCGAGAATTGAATTGGCAAAACGAAATGGAACTCAACGCCTGAACGAAACAACCCGACTGTCATTCGGGGTCTCCCGAGTACTTACCTTCTTGTAACTCTTCCCAGTTTTCTCAAGGGATCTGTAAGTCTTAATGTACTTCCGGTGCTGCGCTTGCGCCATTTCTATTGTCCTCATGGCAGCGACTGCGCACAGCTGACTGGCATTGCTCTTAACCACGTGATCAAACGAGGAGTCCTTACCAGACTCCCACGCTTCGAAATGTTCTTCCCATAGTTCCTCCTCGTAGACGTTGTCTCGCCCCAGGGCTAGGACCGGGTCGTGTTGTTCTTTACGGTTTAGCTGACCCAGTTTTTCATTGAGAATATCCTGATTTTTTTCGTCTTCCTGGAGATCAAGGGACAAATAGTCGATAAATTTGCCATTAAAGATATCCTTGGCCGAGACTCCTGTCTTCGGTGCATGTTTTAAACTCGTTTGCAATGTAAACTTCCTTCTTTAATTCAAAACTAACCTAAACTCAGTACAAAAGAAAGTGTGAAGCCTTGGAGCCGAATGGCTCATAGCTGCCGGAGCTTATCCCGGTTTCTGTAGCATGAAGCGACTAGGAGTATTTCTATCCCCCCTGGACGGGATGCTAGTCCATCGCAGGTCACTCCCCCGCAATTTGTTAGGTTTCCCCAACAATTCGCCGGTACCCATTTATACTCCTGGGTGGAGAGGGACACTGTGAGAGTTAAGTGTCTTGCCCAAGAACACAACACAATGTCCCCAGCCAGGGCTCGAACCCGGACCGCTCTCTCCGGGAACGAGCGCACTAACCACGAGGCCACCGCGCCTTCCATAGTACAGTAGGAACTAGTGATAATATTCATACAGCACAATGATTTGTGTTCGGCCTTTAAAACATTCCAGATAAAATAACTTACCAACCAAAAAGACTATACGAACTAACAAATAAAAGCAGCACCCTATACGGATAAAGAGGCCCGTTTCCAATGAGCACTCTCCCCTCCCCTTCCCTAAAGAAAGCTGTCAAAATTAATCAACGCCGTGGGACGCGAAGCACACATGTACGCAGTGCGGACCAATTTTAAATCAAGAAGTCGATGTCCTCTGTTTGTCATGTGAGTTGATGGAGATTGACATTATTCACATTTCCAATCGTTAGCCATACTTCAATAATGAAACGAAAATATCTTAAATACCCACTTAAGCTGAATAAATAAAAAACGTTTTAGCATATAACCTTTGCTTGATTAGACAGATGGCGAACGCATCCAAGCGATCAGTACGATTCAATAAAAAACAGAACGCTTGAAGTCTTCAGACAAAAACGGATTAACTCTAAAGCCGCTTACTAAAATAAGAATTGTATTCAAAAAAGACAGCAACAAATGGGTCTAAACGTAGCTGAATGACTCCTAAGTGATTCACGGTTGAAAGGATCACCAAACGCACTCGAGTGAAACCAACGCAGATTTTATTTAAGGTAGCACAGTCTCTTCTCGCATGAGATGACAAGCGGGTTCTTTGCATTCTGAAAACAACAAGAAATCGATTTGATCACACGCTAGTTATGTTGGAAAACACACCGGTCCAGCACGTGATGCGTGTTTTATTTTTTCCAAACCCCCCTGCTGTCCGAATAACTCAAAGTATTCAAAACGTCATTTTCTTGATTTGATGAAGATCAAAAGTCCACTTGTCTGGAACAAAAAGGAAATAGCAAAACCGTGCCGCCACAGACGTCCTTGGGGTCAAAATATGTGTACAATTTTAAAGAATCAACGGGGATCAAAGAGTGGTTTTAAAATCTTTTGTTTCAGTAATTTTTTTGTGACCGGCAAATAAGGCTTTTCGTGTGTTGTTTAGTTCGAAATTTGTGACACAGTTATCTTTTCACGTGGAATAAAACAGAGAGAAATGAAGGCAAAATAATGACCTTTAGTCGAGAACGCTTTGATGACACATCGGGTCGACTAATAATATCGTTGAAATAATTTCGAATACTCTCCAATATAATGGCAATTCAAGGCGATATCTAGAGCGCGTTCCTCTTTTAGAGAGACAAATATTTTTTTTGGAAACCTTAAAATCTGTGGAATTCTAAACGCAGAGCGATACACTGATCAAAGTTTTTACGGTTTTCCTGAATTGAAGATCACAAGTCATTATCTGCTCGCGGTCTAACTGAAGTAGGAACAAAAAGTATGCCCAACATTGTCTACGTTTCCTTCATCGAATATTGATTGCGTTTTAATATAGCGTGGTATTTTTATACATGAATGTTTTCGCTATCTTGAACGGAAAACTAATGTTCCCAAATCTTGTTAAAGGGAACTTCCAGGCGAACATCCGTAATTATTGACCACCCAGGGAACACGTATTTGTCCGAGTCCATAACAGTAAGTAAGCATTTGTCGTCAGATGCGAACAACTTGCGTGCGGCTTCCCGCGCTGGTGAAAAAAATAACAAATCGAATAAACCACTATCGCAAGACTACAATTAAGATACCAACCCTCCTCGATATTTTCGACTCACTGGCGATTGATCCAATCAAGATTTTCAAGTCGATGTCGAATGATCAGATCTAAATTTCGCTGCTTTCCGCGGCGAGTACATTCAAGACAGAGTTAATAAATAAATTATGAATGCATCGGGTTGTGTGATTTCGCGAAGTTTACATAAATTCGTTCGTCTATGAGAAGCGATCATGCTACGACTTGTTGAAATAAGCTTACGTGACGAGACACCGCGTGAAAGGCGAGTGGAGTCACTTCGGAGAAGGCGATCAATTGCGGTCAGACTTCTTCTATTCAAGAAAGAATAAATGAAATTCTGATTTCCGTCCATGCAGCATGTCCATGATAATATAACATTAGAATATCATGGCTTGAGCATCGTGATACCAACAGAGAAAGGTTTTCAATGCGAACTCAATCAAACCGCATATTCGATTGTGTACTTTGGCTGCTTTTCAATAAACACGATAAAAATGCTATCAAAACTGTACAATACAAACCAGCAACAAATCTATAATCTCCTCCTTGAGCTGAAGTTCTGCTTCCAGGAATAACAACAATTTCATCATATTCTCGAATCTGGTTTGATCCCCGGGGCTGAAGAAGTCTCCGCTAGGAGAGAATGCCATGGCGAACAATACACTGGATGCGCGTGCTCGTTTCTGGAGTAGGAATGTCGAGAAGTCGGCCAGCGAAAACTGAAACAGGGAAAGCTTTCCTTGTCCACCGTCACATCTGTTGATAGTCGAGTTTTCGCACTCTAATGACGTGCAAAATTCTCTTTTGTTTGGCGGAACCGAACTTAATTGTCATTCAATTGAACTCAAACATTTGTTGTTACGTCAGCGCAAGTAGGCGTAAATTGTTATTTATGGCTCACTAGAGGTCTTGGCCTTTGTCTGGAACGTCCCAAACTTTCTCAACGGAAAAATGTGGAATGTTTCATCAAAGGCCAGCCGGTATCATGAAATTTTCAAGTGCTGAATTGCAATTTAGCTATCGCTTCCAAAACACTTTCGGCTTCGTATGACAAAAGAACTTTTCTCTTCAATTATGTTAGACAATGGAGCCGCAAAATTCAACCATTCAGCGCTTTGTGTGTTATGAATCGATATCTGCATGTCAAAATTTTTGAAAGACATTTCGAGAGTATGAGAATAAAGAACAATATTTAATTTCTTATCAGTTGGTTTTGGCGCTTATTGCTTCTAGCTTTACTGATAGCTACACCCCAATGATAAGGCAGCTAATATTTTACGTCATATCATTTCGTATCATAAACGTTGAGTAATCGCGAAAATTGGTCGTCGAAAGCTGACAAGGAACCGGATATCGAGGGGTCTGCAAAGAGATAAGAGACCAGGCATCTGAGTTTCGTAGCCTTCAAAGAAAACAATATATGTTTTTAGCAAAGTGGTTAATAAGCAGACTTTGTCGTTTGGATAAGATATTAGTAACCTTCTACTGACTGAAAAGGAAGCTAATGGACCTAATTGTTACAAAGGTTCAACAACAGCGAAAACAGCTTGCAGTAGGTGTAAAGAGGACCGGAAGAAGTAAGAAACAGGAAGAAGATTTTGAGGGATTTCCAATTTGAAACATTTATTTACGCCATATATTTGGCAGGATGCCGCAAAAAGTTTCTTTACTTTTGGTTCTTTTGAATAGATTGAACAAAAGATAAAAGAAGGGAGAAGATTTTTCAGCTAAGACATAAACCTGAAAAGGGAAAGTTCTGATTAGCAGGATGATAAAAAAAAA